ACCGAGTTTGTGCAATTCTTTGACTTGTAATTTTGGATTTGTGTAGCACAAAGATCACTGCTACACAAAGCCAAAATAACTAGTCAAGGAATTGCACAAACTCAATTTCAATGTACTGCCAATTTTCTCCAAAAGGCACCCGTAAATATACTTTTACCAAAATAAAAACTCAGCTTATGAGCTCCCCCCCCCCATATTTTGCAAGTAAAATATAGTTTATAAATGGGCATGCTGTGAAGGATCTAAATTCAGAATTTTGAAAACATTATTTACTGATATGGTAAAGTGCCTTTTAACCATTCATTGAAAAACATGTAACAATTCCCTTGTATGTCAGCCATATTTAGTATTTAGCCGGCCTTACGCTCAATAATTTTTGACGAAAAATCAGTAACATTCAGTTATAAAAAACTATCAAAAGTAATGCTTCCAAATTTAACTATGCATTAAGCACATTTAGATGTTCATCTCTAGAGATATGTGACTTACTCAACCTGTATATTCCTTTGACAAACCGATGCAAAATTAACTCTGTTCAATTCTGAAGAAAAGCTTATATTATATGGTATATCGAATCTGTAAATTACAAGCTAGTTGATGATTAAGCTAGATAATATCTAATTAATGATGTATTAATTAGGGCAGCTGTTTTAAATTTTTAGTATAAGTACTTGGAATGGACTTCACAATTTTATTATAATTGTGAAGGACAAAATGTAATTTTAATACTTATTTAATGTATTATATTTATGAAAAATGCTTAATTTTATTAAAAAGAAAATTTATTATTTTGTAAAATTAAAAAATATTTAATTTATCATAATATAATAAAACATTTTTGAAATTTTGACCTTTTTGTCAGTTTTGTTGCTATTGATTTAATTTTCCTGATATACGTCAGTAAAAACATACTTAATTTTATAATGATATTTTTGCCATAAAACTGCTTTCACATCAAGAAAATGAGCAATATAAAGTGGCAGAGGAGGCACTTTGCATGTGTTTTATTGTACTAATTAACTAACTACAAGCTTTTTAATATGTGAGAAAAGCCATTTGTGTCTATAAAGGATTAAAACAGAGTTGCCACACTACTGGGAAAACCAGAAAAAGTCGGGGAATATAAATGTTTTTGTCAAAATCTTGAAAAGGCAGGGAATTTGTTACAGCAATTCCCTTCCCCCCCAAAAAACAAGTTTTTCGCCACAGTTGGAAGCGTTCACTTTCTTCGAGAATTATGTATCGCGTAAGCGTCATTCAGGCAGCTGATGTAGAGCTAATTTTGCAGCTCCAATCAAATTGTCTTTCAGAAAGGAAAAACAAGTTTCCAGTAACCTCGAGAATCAAGAGACTCACATCCACATGTGAAGTACATGTTGAACTAAAGGAAGTACTTTCATTCTCATATAAAACAAAATTGGTTTGATCCTAGCATATGGCACACATGAGATTTGGCAATATTATGATGAGTAGTAAACAGGTCATTTTAGTGTTGGCGACAATTTTCAAAATCATGCTAAGGGGCCGTAGCGTATACTAGGATTTTATCGCAAAAGTTTTTAAACCTTTTTTTTTAATAAATGCCTTATCTGTCATTTTACTGTAAAATAAAAAAAATCTGATGTGTACACCACATGACTTCCTTGTACGGAAAATTAAATTATACGCATTTTTTCTTGCATTTATTTAAAAACTTATAGATTGAATTAAACCTACTTCGCCGACAGCGCATAAACCACAGTAGAATAAATGCATTATTTAAAATTACTTTGGTTTACCATAGCGACACTGTGGCGTTACGTTTACTTAACAGTATTATATTTCATTCATATTATAACTCAGAATGCACAAAATGTATATCATTTAAAGAATTATCTAATCGTTGCCTCATGTTCTATTCAAATACTATAATAAAGCTCAAACTATGTATAAAAGAAATTAAGCAAACAAAACAAAAAAGAAACAGTTTTTCACAGACAATTGAGTATTTCTCATTTAATTAATTCAGTTCTCACTTCGCGAGAAGGCAAAAATACATAAAAACTCAAAATATCTGTATTAAAAATTACGAAGTAAATCTCAAACGTTTATTTCCTCGAAAAAATTCCAGAAATAATTAAGCATGATTTAATTGGCAATAATAAATGAATACGTTATCTTTGTTGTTGCGAAGCTAAGTTTATCTAGATTGGCAACAAATCCACTAGTCTCCTGTTTCAAATGTAAACATCAATGGCCGCCATTAAAAACAGGCTTAGCGGCAATTAAACAACTTTAAAATTGCTGATAATTCTAAAAATATTGCACACAGATTTACAAAGGCATAAAAATCCTTAACCGGAAGATAAAACAAATAATACAATCATTTTTAAAAGCAAAAAATGTACGGTTTACAAACCTATAAGAGTAAAGAAACTGAGATCACTGAGCCGGGTAATAGAGTAAATATATATATAAATATATTTATGTACGTTTGGTGCGGCCGATTGCAACCAAAATACGAGTGCGCATCTACATGTTATAGCAGTCCTATATACAAAATTTCAACATTCTGAGGCTACTCGTTTTTGAGTTATGCGAGGTACGTTCGTACAGACGCCACGAAAAATTTTCTTCAGAATTAATTTTAAAGCAGTTTTATAATTTTTTTTAAAGGAAAAGAGTATTTTATTCTGTCCTTACGTACAGATATCACGCAAAAACATCGTTAAATTGCATTCGATAGCGGTCAAAATGGATATTTTCGTTGAAATATGCTGCCTGAAACTTTTCGCGATTACAATACTTCCTTTTTACTTCGTACAAGGAAGTTAAAATAGCAACAGTGCATCTAGGCTAACCATTTAATATAACTATATTTTGCAAAATATCACTGATTATTGTAATTCAATTTTTAAGTAATTAACTGTATTTTAATGTTATTTATACCATTTAATGTGGCTTTTCCCCTCTAAATTTATTTATTATTAGTTAATAATACTTTCAAATTTCAGGCAATTTTTGCTGTCATAATCCTGAAACTAATTCTATCAGTATGATGACATACTGTCACGAAATTTAATGCACATATTTTTTACTCATGGATGCTGCTAAATAAATATAAAATACCTGAATTTATTTTAAAATATCAGTAAATATATTTCTTTCATTTTGCTGCAAAAAAAAAAAAAAAAAAAAAAAAAAAGACATTTTTTAATCCAGATTGGGCAGATTCTAATCGCAATGTTCAGTGGAGAAAACAACTATTATAGTTATACAGGGTGGGACGAAATAAAAGTGCCCAGGAGAACAGAGTTCCAAGTTACACAGCAAATGAAAGTAAGTTAAAAGTGGCCCGGGCGAGTGGATACTATTGGTCGTGAAAGTATGCATACAACCATACAATGTGACGCACTTATCATGTGTACGCACACCACGTTATCCAACCCGGTTCAGAGCTTTGTGCGGATTGTGTCAGTGTGAGTTGAGCAGTGCAAAGGTGAAGTTGATACTTAACAGTGCAGCATAGGGTGTTCGTTGTGGAAAGTGACATTGCAACAAAATAGTGGAAACAGTGTGGTCAATTGTTTGCTTATAAGTTTAATGGCGTCAAAGTGCTGTGCAACGATTAGTCAGAAAGTGGCGTCAAACAGGATCTGTTTGAACAAGTCAAAAATATTCTCAAACGTTTCCGAACACCAAAACATGTGGCTGCAGTTCAGCAGAAAATGCGTCAGAGTCCTAGCAAATCAACTCGACACCTGTCGCAAGAGACTGACATATCACAGTGATATCACATAACGTTGGTCTTGGTGTTGGTGTATTTAATTATGGCTAAGCACACGAGGGCTATCTGCCTAAGGGGAGGAATGTCTTTGTGGAGGACTTTCTAAGGGAAACTGGCTCGTATACACGTTACACATGGGGAAAACCACGAAAACGCCCATGCAGCCAGCCCGTTCGTGGGATTTGAACCTCGGACCGAACAACCAGTGTTCAGCGACTTTATCGCTTGGCCGCTGGTGAGCGATATCACATAACGATTCATTACAAGAAAAAAAAAATTCACATGCTTATCACAAGTGTATGACCCTCAAATTTCAAAACTGCATGCATTACCATCTCAATGAGATAGATGATGGCATTAGCATAACTTATGTGTAGCCATGAGTGGCTTGCCAGATAAACACATTTTTGTATTATTCTTGGTTGCTGCCCACTTTGTTGACATCATCTGTTGACTTTTGTCAGGCCTGGACAGATCATGTGTTAGTGCCTAATTTTTTATTTTGTATTTGCTACTTAGCAAAGTGTAGCATTGGTTTACTATAAATTTTTGTATTATTTAATGGTAAATTGGATTTGAATATGTTTTATGAGGTTTTCTGTATTTAATTCTGAAAATGCAAACATGAATTGCCAATAGTTCAGTAATCATTATTTCGTTTATAAAGCTTCCCCCCCCACACACACACTTGTTAAAATTTTAGACTGCTGAAAATACCAACAAATATATAATATGTAATGGTTGCCCATTATATATCAGATATGCATGCATTAGAAAACTGTGTCTCATTAAATATGTAAACCTGATGATACTTTTTCTACATTAACTCATATTATCTATCTTTAAGTCTGTAAGAAATCTTACTAAATACTGCACTTTTCATTTTTGCTGAATGCCAAGAATTCTGATTTTGTTTATAAGTTGTAAGTATTTAATGAAAATCCATTTTGAATAGAATTTCTTCTCTCTAGTGAGAAAGATGGTACTGCATGGGTTTCTTGTAAAGAATTTGGTAAGTTCTTTTATTATTATCATGTATTGAAAATTTATCAATAAATATTTATATAACAAATTCTGGTAGAATAAAAATGGTGAGAAAACGTACTTCTGTTTTAGTCTCATTTCCATTATGATTAAAGTTTGATGTAAGAAATATGAAAACCTTTCTATTAAAGCCATACCACCTGGTGTTTTATTTGATCAGTGCATACCCATGTTGATAGTTTTGGCAAGATTGTTTGACTTCTTTAATGGGCAGCAGGTATTGCAAGTTTGATTTGGCTTCTTTAATGGCAATAATTGTTTTTATAAGCATTGCTGTGTGTTGCATCTAATCAAATATTATTATTGTTATTTATTATTGCAATGGGCTTGTGATTTGCTAAGAGATTACTATCCTGTTTCTTCAAGAAAGATATGTCCTAAGAAAGATCATGTCCAAATAATCACTTCATGAAATTAAAATGTGACCTGAAGCAAAAATGGCTCTGCAGTCTTGACAGATACCGAGAAGAAAAGGTGTCCAAGCACAACTTGGTTTGTTGCATTATACATTCTTTTCATTACAGCTAAACTTCATTTACTCACAGTATCACATGTTGACATCGTTTAGTTCTGTGAAGAAAAGCTTACTTCAAGTGAATCCCAGTACAACAGTTGGTTGGAATCTGGAGGTCACTGTAAAATATTTGAGATATGTGCAGATGATAAGTGGCAGAAAAAATTAACAGTTAGGTTTGAAAATATGTTGAAAATATGAACTGTTTTACCATAGCAGACAATTTTGTATTGGCCAACTGCTAGTAGTTTAGCGCAGAATAAATTTTAGGCAGAAGGAAAAATGGAGTTGATGCGAGAACATCATCGTTCTATGATTTTAAAGTGGGATTAAATCAAGAAGAATGCATTCAACATCTATAATTAGCATTTGGAAATGAAGGCCTGTCTTTTGATACTGCATTCAGATGGTTTACAAAATTTCACAGAGGTGACAATTCTCTTCAAGATTAAGAATACAGTCAAAAGTCGTTAATTCGGCACCCATAATCCGGAATAATCTATAATCCGGACCTCAAAGCTACAAACTTTCTGCGCATGCGTCGTGTTCACGCATGCGCACAGGCGTTTAAGAGTGCGCATAAGACCTTTACGGCTGCGAATATGTTTGTGCACATGCGCGTTTAATGTGTAACAGAGGTATAAGCTAAGCTAAAATTATCTAATTCAGTTAATGTTGCACATTGCGTTGTTCCTTAATCTTCGAATTGGATCCGGCTTATTATTTTTTGCAGACTGTTAGAGCAATTTTATAAAAGTAAGCTTGAACTTTCGATTATGTCAAATAGAATATCCGATATATATTTACTAATATGTAATTTGTATCTACAAAGCGAAAGTATGTTTTGAAATCCGAAATCTGTTTATCAATTTCACGCGCTGCGGATTGGAAGTTGATCTGTCAGCACTATCCTTATCTTCAGGGCAGATGTTTTTATTTTATTTGGCTTATAATTCCTTACTAAGTGTAGTATTTCATGTCGATGTACTCCGTGTTTGATATAATTTAAATCAAGTTCCTCGTCATTATAATTCGCTTCCGATAGTGAAGAAAGTGACCCAGAGGTTATTGAAAACGAAAACATTTCGATTGACAAATTAGTCGGTATTCTCAACACAGCAATTATAGGACTTGAACCGCAGAACTTTGTAACTAAACAAGAAATTATGTCTGTTTAATAGAATTAAAGAGAAAGTATTATCACATGAAACGAAGCAACTTACATTGAAAGAAATGTTTAATAAAGTAAACAAATAAATATTAAGCTTTTTCTTTTTGTAAATTTTGATACCCTTTAGATCATAATTGTTCTTTATTTCATAAATTACGGTTTCATATTTTAATTTTGTAATTTCTGCATGCCACCTTACCAGATTTAAACTGATGATCTATAATCCGGAAAAATCGATAATCCGGAATCGCCGAAGTCCCGACGAGTCCGGATTAACGACTTTTGACTGTATACAGAAAGGCCATTGTCAGCTGTAATCTGAGATGATGTATGTGCCATATGGAAAATGTTAATTGATGGTATTTGCTGCTCCTACCAAATGATACAGAAGGAACTTAATATTGGATCTGCCACCATATGTAAAATTATTCATGAAGAATTACATATGAAAAAAAAAAACAAGTTTGCTGTTGGGTTCCCCATAATTTAACTGAGTGCTAGAAATCCATCTAAAAGATTACAATGGTATCTAAAATTATATCTGAAGAATTTGAGAGTGACCCTTGTAATTACATACGAGTGCTATCTTAGCCTAAGGTTAAAGTTGATGGATGGAGTGAAATTATGGAAATTGGTGGAAATATATTTATGAGGAAAATAATAATGTAGGCTGTGTTCCCCCCCCCATAATTGGATTTTTAATGAAATTAGAATATATAATGTTCCTTCAGCTAGTTATTCTGTTTCATCTAATATCAAGCTGTAATTGTGAGGAGAGAAATAAATCAATATATGCCATATGACAGTGAGAATGTGTGGTGTGGCTGTAACCAAAACATACTAAAATATATTTATTAGATAAGCTATTTCAACAAGCAAAGAACAAAGAAGAATAACATACTTAAAAACAAGAACATTCTGCAAGAGATAAGAACAATACATTTAATTTAATGGTGGCTAATAGGCAATCTTGGCAGTTGTAGCTTTCTGTAGAAAATTATTTGTGGCATCTATGCTTGAATAGATTTATTAATTTTTTTAAATGATTTTCTGATGCTAAAAATCATAGTACTGGAAAACGTGTATTGCAATGTTCATTCTATGTTTGTCTGAATTGATATTTTATTTATTGCAGGTAAAGAAGGTAAGCATGGAAAATTAATTGTTGATAATGCTGGTGATGGTGCATCCTTGCAAGCTTCTGAGGGATTCAAAGTTGAAAATGTAACAAAGGTATGTTTTATTTAAAATGAAATGAAGTGTTTACTTGGTGTCCGCTGATAACATTGCGATGAAAACAATGCAAGGCGAAAACATCGTGGTACAAAATATCGTCGAAAATAAAGCAGTTAAAAAACTTCGCAGGTTAAAAATATGGGGGTAAAAAAAAAGTATCTATAAATCATCGCATGTCGATAACATCGCATACTTGCTTTTTTCAGGCTTTAATAACTGTAAATGAATATTCTGATAATGATTTTTGAGCACAAGAGGGAAAAAAGGATAATTTTTACTTTCATATTTTTTATTAACTAATACATTTTTGCTGAAAAATTAAGAATGAAACTTAAGCACAGAAAATTAATGCAACTTATAACTTAACCCATTCAGGACTAGCGTCGCGTATAGGCAATGCAACGATTCTGCTCGTACGAGCCCAGCGTCGCATATACGTGACATTAAAATGGAATGATTTATTTTTGAATTTTTAAAAAGCCAGTAAATGGAGCTAACTGGTACAGTCAAAAGTCGTTAATTCGGACACCCATAATCCGGACCTCAAAACGAAAAGCTTTCTGCGCATGCGCCACGTTGACACATGCGCATAGGCGTTTACGCGTGCGCGTAAGACCTTTACGAGTGCGCATATGCATGTGCGCAAACACAGAATACGTTTTCGCGTGCCCGTTTAATGTATAACGGCCGGTATAAGAAAATTATCTAATTATCTATTTCAGTTAATGTTGATGATTGCGTTGTTCCTTAATCTTCGAATTGGATCCGGCTCATTATTTTTTGCAGACTGTAAGAGCAATTTTATAAAAGTAAACTTGAACTTTCAATTATGTCAAATAGAATTTCTGATGCTGGAGCTGCCAAAGGATCTACAAAACGAAAGTATGTTTCTATGTCCATCAAACAAAAAGTGGAATTGCTGCAAAAAGTGGATAAAGACATGAAGAAGGTGACAGAGAGGTTAGTGAAAACGAAAAAATTTCGATTGACAAGTTAGTCGGTATTCTTGGCACAGCAATTACGGGACTTGAACAGCGGAACTTTGTAACTGAACAAGAAATTATGTCTGTTTATAGAATTAAAGAGAAAGTATTATCACATAAAACGAAGCAACTTAAACAACTTACATTTAAAGAAATGTTTAATCAAGTAAACAAATAAATATTAAGCATTTGTTTTGTAAATTTTGATACCCTTTAGATCATAATTGTTCTTTATTTCATAAATTACGGTTTCATATTTTTAATTTTAGAATTTCTGCATGCCATCTTATGAGATTTAAACTGATGATCTATAATACGGAATCGCCAAAGTCCCGACGAGTCCGGATTAACGACTTTTGACTGTAATTGTATTCACATGGATTGATTCATACGGCATTTGATCTTCAGGTACTGACATTTGCTTCTGGTTTTGAGAGATTTATTGAAAATAAACAAACTGGAAATCGTGGCTCTTTATAAGTGCGACTGTGAATTAAAGGGCGTTTGTGTCTATTTCGTTAGGATTTTCTTTCTTTCTTTCTATCTTTTTTTTAAATTTTATTTATTTTGAAACTTAAGCTTTCTTGGTTAATTAAAAGGTAACATTACAACATTATTACAGAAGGGGAAAGACTATCAGCATTATCGACGCATAATGCGTCTTGCTTGTATTTCTCAGGAAAGAGCCAGCGTTTTTGTTTCTCTTACTCAATTTAATAGGTCATTATATGTAATGCCTTGAATGGTTATTATATATAATGACACAAGCATTATATTTTGGTATATAATGTATTTACATATAATGTAATTATGTATGATATATATGCTGACGTGATCAGTAATGGATATCCCACCAGTGGGGGTTCTTTCCTTGATCACTTTCCGGTAATCATGGACGCTGTTTTTGATTTAGAAAAACAGGAAGTTTTCTAATATAAACCTGATTTCACACAGTGTTTGAGGATGAAATATTTCTGAGTGTCTTTTGAAGTTTGTGACGTGTGTTGGGGTTATATTTAGTTTTATTCCGTTAGCCATGGCTAAGAGACCTTACTTAAAAATTTGTCCAAAATCACCAGACACTCCACCTTTCCATCTAACTAGAAGACAGTTTCCGAAAATTTACGTCAGCGAAGGAGATAATAAAGGTAAGAGAAAATGCATTGTGTGCGCTAAAACGAAGGAAAAGCGAAAGCATACAACGTATTTTAAGTGCGAAATATGCAATGTAGGACTGTGTGTCGATCCTTGTTTTGAATTATTTCATACACAGAATTTTTAAACTGGAATTTAATTACCTACTGGTAATTCTTGTTTAATTTTTTTTTTTTTTTTTTTTTTATTATATATATCAAAATGCTGGTTTTATGTGATTTTTTTTTTGTAAAATTAGGCTTAACTTCTGAAAAAGCGCGGGCCAGTGGTGACGATCTATTTCAGAGGGTCCGGTCGCGTGACTGCGCTTCATTCTCCCGTCGCTGGTCCTTAAGGGGTTAATAGAATTTTAAACTGACATAGTGAACTAACAAAGGTCATTAATAAATCATTTTTTATAAATTTTTATTGGTAATTTTTCAAAAAAGTATAACCTAAAAAAGATTAGAAAAAGGAAGGTAAGTAACTATGACCTTATATATAAAAAAATTGCTAAGTTAATTATGAGATTATTTTCTTCACTTTTGTTAATCTAATACTCTTATAGTGAAAATTATTTCTTGTTTTGTTTCACTTTTCTTAAAGTGTGAATGTCGACTTGTTAGTTATGATGAAAGTCATCTATATAATATTTTAATAGGGTTTGTATTTATTAGATTATGCCAAAGCACACTATGGTTATCTGCTTAAGGGGTGGGATTCCTTTGCGGAATACATTCTCAGGAACCGGTTCATATGCACATTATACTTTAGGAAAATCATGAAAATCTTCATGCAGCTTTTATTTTTGTGTTTTAGAAGTAATGTATACTTGCAGTGAACTTTCTTAGTGACTATCTCCCTAAGACGAACAGTAATTTTTAGAAAAATAAACACAGGTGTTTAATCACTATGCAAGTTCAACACATCCACACAAGATTAAAAAGATATGGAATTTTGAGTCATCACTTTAAATTGGATTGCTTACATTTACTTTTAGATTTAGACATTTCTTATTAACACTTTAAAAGTATTATTTAATTTTTCATATGCATTTTATTCAAAAATTTTGCAGTTACTTATTGAACTTTAAAGACAATTTTAATGCTTTTCTTCTGTGTTTCTTAATTTTCAGAATATCTTAATTTATGCATGCCAGAAATCTGTAGTGAAATTAAAATTAATATTTCTGAGTGAGATTCTATTTTGTGGCAATTCTTTGTTCTCAGAATTCTTTGCCTAGCAACTTTTAAGTGACTAATTTTTCTGGTAAATTTTTAATTCAAGATAAAATTTAATGAAATAAAAACTTAATCAAATTTCCCTTATCTAGATTTCAAGGATAAAAACTGCACATATTTTACATTGACTTTTATTTTCAGTGACTGAAATATTTCAAGTACACTTTTTTTTATTTAAATGACAAATTATTTGTAATAAAAAAAAATGTAACATTTTTCTGTATAATTTTAAATGCTTTAGAAACATATGATTTTGAATATCGATCATAGCTAAATTTTAAAATCCGGGTTCGCTTCGTGCATGATTATTTTTTAGTTAAAGTAACCAGAAAGAATATTTTTTCAATGAAATGAAAGTATCAGGGGTGTTTGTGCTCCGGGGAAACCCCGGAATTCCGGGGATTGTCGTTCAAAAGGAAGTAGGAATAATAATGAATTATTTATTTTGATCTGGGTAATTTTGTTTGCTTTGAAAGCAGAAAACGCAAGGTCAGTGTGTGTGGTGAAAACTTTTCCTTCTCTTTCTCCAAAGGCAGTGATAAGGCGTGAATGAAAAGGGGGAAAAAAAAACTTCTTTTTTGTTCTTTCCTTATTGCGAGTTATGACTCATTCCCCCGGTTCTCGGACATTCTCTTCTGGATTCTTTTCGGCAAGTAGGCGCGGCAGAAAAAAAAGGGAGAGATTTTGTTCGACCAGATGTGTGATCACGTGACTCTGGGTTCAAAGGTCTTATCTCTCCTGGCGTGGCGCCAATAAGTAGAGAAGGGGGATTTTTCGCCGTATTAGCTATTTATCGTTGATCGCTTCTCAACTTTTTTTTCTCCGCTGTGTAAAATTTTTGTTTCATTTATTGATGCACGTGTAAATTTTTCGTTTCGTTTATTGAAATATTTTTTTATTTATGTACGCAAGAGAATTTCACTATGAAATTTCTCGATATAAATAGTGATATTATATAATTAGAAGAAGGTGTCCGGAATGTATTTAGGTGGAATTGGATTGAACGGAGAAATGGTAATGGGGATACCATCGGCACTTGGTGCAAGAAAATAAATGTTGCTGGACAAGCATATTTTGTTTTTTGTAACTCACTGCTGAAGTATGGTGGGGAAGGATTCAAGGCTTTCACAAATCATTCTAAAACAGTGATGCACATAAAATATTCAAAGTGCATTAGACATTCAATGACTTTAAGTAATTATGCTAATTCAAAAAATACTGATGACTTACTGGGGACTAATGCTCGGCCATTGGATATAGTGACAAGAAAAGCATGCCAAGAGGTATTAATAACTTCGTTTATCGCCGAGAATTCTCTTTCTTTCAATGTAGCTCCCAATTTAATTGAACTCTGCAAACAGTTGAGCCGCGATCAGACGGCACTAAACTCGTTGGAAATGTCCAAGACTACTGCATGTTATAAGATGAAATATGGGCTCACAAAAACTATTAAGGAAAATATCATTAAAACTTTAAAGGAGACTCCATTTTCTCTAAATTTGGATGAAAGTACTAGCAATGCTCAAGAAAGTATACTGGCAATATTGGTGCACTTTTTATGACAACAATCAAAATGAAGTTGTAGTTCATCATTTTGCATCTCTAAAGATGGAATCTTGCAATTCAGAAGCTGTTTTTA